TAGCACTTGCCCCCATATCCCCCACGAATCTCCCCTGCACCCCCCCCAGCACTACCCGCCATGCCCCCGAGCACCCCTCCTGCACCCCCAGGCAAACCGCAGCCAACTCCTCATGGGCTCAGAGGGGGAAGGCCAGGAGGGGCTGCCTGATGGGGGGGATTTTGGGGCAGGACTCTCCGGGCAAGCCTGGCCGTGGTGGGCACGAGGGCCACCATGGGGAGCCATGGGCACAGGCAGAGGGGCTGGAGCGCTGTCTTTGCCTCCCACGGACGCCATTCGGGGCACGGCAGAAAGCTTGTGGGACATTAGAAAATAGGCTTTGTTAGGGAGAAGGCGGCGGCGCATACAAAGGACAGGCTCAGGAGCGGGTCAATGATGCTCTGTTCCACAGCCCTCCCTGCCGCGCGGGCAGAGGCCAGCAGAAAGCCGACAACTGCCCGAAACGAAGCGGTGTTTCACTTGCATCACATCGGAGCTTCACTCGCATCACAGCAGAGCTTCACCTGCATCACATCAGAGCTTCAGAAATGCCCCCGCGCAGCCCCCGGGGCTCGCAGGGCCCCAGCGATGAACCGATAAGCTGTGCCAGGCTCTGTGGCGGCAACCGCAGGCTCCGGCCGGGACGGCCTCGGGGCGGCTGTGATTCCCGGAGTGGGTGGTGTCTGTTTTCTAGGCCCTGAACAGATCTGAGAGGTATTTGGGGCACAAGTCCGGGCTGCCAACCAAAGCGCTTACAGGATGCTCTTGCAGCTGCCCCCAGTCCCATTCATCTGAATGCAAACATCTTCCCAAGCCCTAAACAGCTCTGCAAAACCCACCTAGGTGCAGCCCCCAGGCAAGGGGGCATCCAGAATGCGATGCCAGCAGCAGGGAGGGGGCATGGGGTGGGTGGAGGGGGGCACCGAGCACATCCTACATCCCATTGCCGGAGCTGGAGGGGAAAATCACGGTCTTATCGTCATCGGTTTGTACCGGCCCTGCCAGCGGGCAGGCGAGACAGCGACAGCCCGAGTTAATAGGAAAGTCCCCCCACCTCAGTGGTGAGATTAAACCGAGGGACATTTATGGGGAGCCTGCTCTGCATCAGACAGGGCCAAAATCCTCCAGCAGCTCCCGTGCTGGGCTGGATCTTGCCCATTCGCAGGCAGCAAATACGTGGAGAGGGGCAGACGGAGGTGAGACCCCGCACCAGCAGCAGGCTCGTCCTGTGCAATTAGAAATATCAGCGAAATGGGGATTTGGAGGGCTTGTGTGCACAGACGGAGGGCATTGTGCCGGCACCGGGGATGGGGCAATTTGCTGCCACAGGTGAAGGGGAGTTCAGTGACTCGCAGTGCCCGCCGTAAGCTGTCGCTCATGGAAATCACTGCGGTATCAGTCACGGTGTGTGGGGATGCTGGAGCCACGTGCTCGTGTTAGGGCTCCTCATGCCAGGCATCCTCGCCGGGCCGCCCCATGTGCTGCCTGGGCAGAAGCAATGGGTTTGTGCATGGCTATTTCTTCTGATTAAGCAGTAAAGGATGGTTTCCTTTAGTACAAGCACGCTGCAAATCCAGTCCTCATTTCCCATCTCGTTTATGGGCTTTTCATCGAGTTTCCCATTGGTTAAGGTGCGTGAGATGGATGAGCAGGGCTGGCGGGTGCTGTGCGCACTACGTGTGCAACGCACGTCGAGAGAGATGCAGCGGGGCAGAGCCAGAGGAAGAGTGAGACTAGAGGAAGAGTGAAACAAACTCCATCCCTTTGGTCTCGCAACATTCGCCTCAGTCTGCTGGGGAAGGTCTGCGGGGGCAGACCCCCCGCTGTCGGCAGGGGCTGCAAAGGAGGGAAGAAATATCGCCACGGGGAGCAGAGAAGGAGGAACAAGCTCCGGCAGCAGCAGGGAGGGTTTAGGGTTTGATGGTGGGAAAAGCTTTCTGATGGCAAAGACAGTGAAGATGGGAAAGGGGTTGCCTGGGGGGATGCAAAACCCCATCGCCTCTGCGTTAGGTGATAAAAAATGGGCAAATCCCAGGACGGCCAGGCTGAATCCATGCCTGGGAGCACCTCTGCATCCCATGGGCAGCAAAACCCAGCAGCATCCT